GGGACTCCATGTACTTCTTGAGGTCGAGGTCGAGGAACTCGAAGACGAGATAGAGCTTATGGCCGTCGGCGTGGACGATGTTGAAGAGGCGCACGATGGTGGGGTCGCGCATCTCCTTGAGGAGGGAGATCTCGCGGATGGCGGTGGAGGGGACGCCCTCGTCCTCCGCTTCCAAGCGAATCTTCTTCAATGCCACAATGCGACCGCCATTGAGAAGGTCCCGGGCCTTGTAGACGACACCGTAAGTACCTGTGGAGGAAGGTCAAGTCAGCATTTATTTGTGAAAGGTGACTGCCAACCGGTGTTGCGTCATGCCATGCTGGATCAACTGCCCAGGATGCAGTTGTCTCGGGCTTGCTTACCTTCACCGATCTTCTCGAGCTTCTGGTAATTCTCCATGACTGCAATGCGGCGTAGTTATCAGGGAGATCGATTCTTGAACGAAAAGACAAGTGAATTAATCGAGTCTGCTCGAGTGGTGATTCAGAGAGTGTCGAAGGCAGTCGTCACGTTCGGAGCGGCCTTTGTTGTTCGGGTAGGTTCAGATTCGTTGTGTGGCAACCTCAGGGTGTGTGTGGAGGGGTACAGCTGAGGGTCTCTCCGGGGCAGAAAGTATCAGTCCAAAGGGAGGAACGTTGTTGTCGTTAGGGGGGCAACAAGATGCACACGGGAGAAAAAGGAAGGGGGGAAACGCAGGAAAGTCGAATTGCCGTTACAAGGGGAGAATCTCCATGGGGTGTTGTCGTCGATGTCGGTCGCAAAGGCCCAGGCGGGATGGGCGTTTGGCGTTTGGCGGATTGGGCGATGTTTTGTGGTGCTAAAATTGCAATCCGTTGTCGTTGTTTACTAGCAATGAAGAAAAACAAGGCGCGATCTGATCTCACCCAACCAAGGCCGCTGGAGGCAGGGTCGCGTCCGGAAGGTGGCCTGGGCTCCCCTGGTCATTGGTGGGCTGTCCGCGCCAAAGCCCATCGATAACAAGCTTATCCTCTATCAGATAGCGATAAGGTCACTGTTGATGGTGGGGTCACGGACCGGCTCACTCCTGATTTTGTACCGCAGAGTCACCTGGGGTTCTCATACGATGCGGAAACGCAGAAAAGACAGGGGATAACTATACCTACCTTGTCTGAATATATCATTGATGGATGGGAAAACTCAATAACACCTGATCCCTTTTTCCTACTACCGATCCGCCAACCCTACGGGCTTCCAATACCAATTCACTCCCCCCACAATGACGGCTGAAATTGTCGAGCTAGACGCCCATGAGCAGCCATCGGAGGCGATGCGGGCACAGTGGAAGGGATACTCAAGAGCAGACCAAAAAGAACTCATAAATGGGAACTCTCTCGATGATCCCAGATCGCCTAACCAAGCTGAGAAATTCTCACTGGCTGGGAAGATTTCGGTTGACCAGCTGACCGCTGCTTTCTCACACTTGGGCCCGGATGCCATCGACACATCGTCACTCAAGGAGGTCCCGATCTTATACCATCCACTTCTTCCAGGTACTTAAACGCGATGGCATTTTTTCATAGAAAAAAACACATCTAACCCCATCTCTCAAGGCCTCCTCATTGTACCGGACTTGGTTCCTCCAGAGGTGCAAAAGACCCTACTCTCACTGATGATCAATCGAGACCTGAGCGTCCCAACACATCAAACCAATCTTCACCTCCACTATGACCTCCCGTACCCAAAAGCCGGAGACGGATCCGCCGAATCATTCTTCTCATACCCGCCCGATCCAGCGCCCATATTCACTCCCAAAGACCCCTCCGTCCATAAGCCCCTATCGATCAAGCAGGTCATGGAGCGTCGTCTTCACTGGGTCACGCTAGGCGGACAGTACGACTGGACGAACCGCATATACCCGGAAGAGCACCCGCCCCAGTTCCCGTCAGACATTGCAAAGTTTCTGGAGACCATCTTCCCAGAGACCCTGGCCCAGGCGGCCATCGTTAACTTCTACACCCCGGGCGACACAATGATGATGCATCGAGACGTTAGCGAGGAGACCGACAAGGGTCTCGTCAGCCTGAGCTTCGGCTGCGACGGCCTCTTCATGATCGCACCGAATGAGCCGGAAAAGATTTCGGAAGAGGCGATTGCTACGGGGAAGGAGTATCTCCTTCTCCGCATTCGCTCCGGCGACGCCATCTACATGACCAAGGACTCGCGTTTCGCGTGGCACGGAGTGCCAAAGGTCATGAAGGGTACTTGCCCGGAATATTTGGCTGACTGGCCAGCGGAAGATGCTAAGTATGAGGAGTGGAAGGGCTGGATGCAAAACAAGAGGATCAACCTCAACGTAAGACAGATGAGGGATTGATGCCAGAACGTCGATCGATACAACAAGAAAACATTGCCAAAGCTGACCAAATATTGCTTGGATTATTCAAACTCTCTTCTCATGAGTACATCCTGGCTCCAGTCACTACGCACTGCGGTTCACCAATGCCAGACTCATGAGTGCACCAAAGCATCTTCAAACAACCCTCTCAACTGCTCCCTCTCCTTCTGCAACTCTGTCTCCAAACCAGGCGCCAGCATCAGCACCCTAGCCTGCGGTATAGTTCCCTCGACAAGATCGTCCAGATGCTCCGTGCCGAAACCCAACTCCTTGATGCCGGCAGGTTGGTCGCCCAGGTCCGCCAAGAACTTTGTCAGCGCGTCGGCCAGAACCTTCCCTGCGTCCTCCTTGCGCACGCGCGAGACATCAACACCAAAAGCCTCTGCCGCCTGGAGATGGCGCTCCGGGTTGGAAGCGCCCGTGAAGCGGAAGACGGCGGGCGAGGTGACAGCCACGGAGACACCGTGAGGGATGATGGGGTAGGAGACCTTGTATCCTGCGTGCTGATAGCCCGGGTTCTGACCCGAGATTGGGTAGGACATGCCTATTGAGTTCATGTTAGGGAGGCCTTCGCTCTAGAACATTGTGCTTTCATAACATACCGTGGCAGAGATGGACGCCGGCATTACCGAAACCAACACCGGCGAGCGTCGCGGCGAGCAGCATCTCGCTCTGCGCTTCATAGTCGTCGGGGTTTTTGACAGCACGTGGTAGATACTTTACCGTGGCTCTCAGCGCATGGAATGAGAAGACGTCGCTGATGGGGTTGGCGCCCTGGTATGCGGGTCTCAATATGGGGTTCTTGGGCCGGGGCACACGCTCATGGTATGGTATTGCGGTCCAGGATTCGAGGGAGTGACACAACACGTCAAGCCCCGAGGCGGCCTTCACGGCCGAGGGCATCGTGCGGGTGTTGAGCGGGTCGCAAATTCCGAGAGTGGGCTTCAGGTTGCGGTGGGCGACGCCCGTCTTGGCGCGCTTGGAAACCAAGTCGAAGATGGCAGTGCCCGTGGTCTCGGAGCCGGTTCCCGCGGTAGTAGGCACAGCGATGAGCGGCTTCAACGCCTTGTCCACAGGGCGGCCGTTGCCTAGGGGCGCGTTGACGAAGTCGAGAAAGGGAGCGTCGGGGTAGCACGAGTAAAGGTTCATCAGCTTGGCGGTATCGATGACAGAGCCGCCACCGACGGCGAGGAAGGCATCAGGAGAAAAAGGACGGGCCCATTCAATTGCCTCACGAATGCTGCTGTCCTTGGGCTCCACGCGCGTCTGGTTGTAGACTTTGTAATTGATGCCTTCGCGGTCGAGGGCCTCGCGGACCTGCTCCATGGCGAAGAGGCCATCGACGATAGGGTCCGTGACGACCGCCACCCGCTTGGCGCCCATGTTGGCAAAGTCCATGCCGACTTCCTGCGTCGAGCCGGGACCGAAGCGGATGGATGATGCGGCCATCTCGAAGGCGTATTCCTTCTGCGGGCCGTCTACGGGGGTGGCATAACCGCCGTTGCTGCTCGTCCGGAGGGGTCTCGGCGTGAAGTGCAAAGGGTTATGGTGGTGGTGATGGCCGGGATTGGTATGACATGGGCATGATGGCGGATGTGCCTGAATTGTCCGCAGCAGGGATACGGCACGAGACGCCGCCTGTAGACCTTATATGAGTGAGGAATCTATGTTGAGAGGGGGAAGTGCTTACGTTAGGAATGACCCGGAGCGAGGGTGTCATGGTCGATATTGAGATGATGTGTTGAGTGTCAATGGTCTGCTGGGTATGCACCGGATATTCTACAATATGGCGGTTGAAAAGAAGCTCACTCTAGTATACGTGGGATGTGAGAGGACAGGAGGGTGTATGATGAAGCTTCAATACTAGGTGAGAGGAGCGATGTCGGGTTTGAAGTCCCGCACCTCCTCCGCACAGGGCTCTCAGCCTGGGTAGGGAGCTTGGTAATGATGGTCACTCCGGGGGTTGGGGCAGCTTCCCCGCATTCCGACCCCACTTGCCGGCCGAGCGATCTGTGTGGGGCCCGTTTGCCGAGGTACATGTACCTGATCACCTCCCTTTTCCGTCCGGTGTTGGGTGCGTGGGTGCGTCAAAAGCTATTTGGTGATGCGGAAAGCATTCAGGGAAGCCTGTCGCCAGGCTTCTTTTTCGGGACCGTTTGTAATTTCAAAAATGTCAGCTTTCCATGTCAGAAAGCAGTACACGCGGTTGACTAGCCCACGTCACCCGCGCTGACAACGTAAGCGGAGTACGTCCACTACAAGGTAGCGCACCACTTCGCAATCCACCTGCCCAAAGAAGCTGGCCGAAGGAGTTGAAACCATGCGCGATCTCCGGGCATTCGTAAAAGTTCGGTCTCGCATTTCATTCAACAATTCAATTGGCCAATGGGCCAACGATGATACCCTCTCACGCTGATGCGGCCTGAGTCAATGGGTGGTTGTCGTTCGATCCTTCATCGGAGAAAAAAATCAAGCATTTGCAACATTGTGACAAGCCTCCACGTTAGCTGACCATGATGGATTCACGGAGAGGTATAAAGGCCGTGGTTGCGACTCTCGACCACGACTGGAATTTATGGAACACAGTTCTGGCACTTTTCACTGTCAACCATCAACTTAAAGCAACTCGATCGAAGTCATCAACATGTCCACACAATCCACTCCCCGGGGCCGCATTCGTGACGTCCTTCCCGACCTCTACCTCGGGAGGTGGCCTGCGGGACCCAAGAACTCCATCACCGATGTTCCTGGTGTCCTCGCCTCGACGCAGAGCATCCGCACAGAGGAGGGTGTCAACACCGGAGTAACAGTCATCCTCCCTCGCCGGGAGTGGTTCAAGGAAGCCTGCTACGCTGGCATATTCCGCTTCAACGGCTCCGGAGAACTGACTGGATCCCACTGGATCGAGGAGACCGGTCTCCTCGCCAGCCCCATCGTGCTGACCAACTCTTTCTCGGTCGGTGACGCATACCGCGGCATCTACGAGTACGCCATTAAGCACTACTCCAACGAGAACGGGGAAATCGAATGGTTCTTGCTCCCGGTGGTCGGTGAGACCTTTGATGGGTTTCTGAACGATGTCTCCAAGTTGGCTGTCAAATCATCAGACGTTGCCAAGGGAATCGACTCAGTGACCGACGACCCGGTGCCCGAAGGCAACACAGGCGGCGGCACGGGGATGATCTGCCACTGGTTCAAGGGCGGAACCGGGTCCTCGTCTCGTCTCGTCGAAGGGTTCGACAGCGAGGGGAACAAGAAGAACTATACCGTAGCCGCGCTCGTGCAGGCTAACTACGGCAGAGCCTCACACCTCCGCATCGGCGGCTTCCCCGTCGGCCGCATCCTCGAGAAGGAGAAGACCGACACGCTGGCCGAGATCGCGGCGCACAAAGATAAAAAGGACGGTTCCATCATCGTCACCATTGCTACCGACGCTCCCCTGACGCCGATCCAATGCCAGAGACTCGCCAAGAGAGCCACCGTTGGGCTGGCGAGGGTCGGCGGCTACGGTCACAACCCCTCCGGAGATATATTCCTCGCCTTCTCTACGGGCAATCACATTCCCGTGCAGACACTCACCTCGCAGAAGAAAGAAGTGGACCCATTCAAGGCCAAGGCACTGAAGGTTGAGTCGATTGACGACACGAGCATCAATGGGCTCCTGGAAGCAGCGGCGGATGCAACCGAGGAGAGCATCTACAACGCCTTATGCTCGGCCGAGACGCTGACGGGTTTCTTGGGACACACGGTTGAGGGACTGCCTCTGGATCGGTTGAAGGAAATCATGAAGAAGTACGATTCTTAGGACTTCATTTGCCTCCCCAAGAGCCTTCTTCGAAGAGCAACAAAATAAGTCCATAGCAACTTCTTGTGTCGTCTCGGCGACTGGATGTCTCACTTATACCATCTAACCCTCGTGTTGGTCCCTTTTGGATCGCTTGTAGCCAGGCTTAACCGATTGTGCCTGACTTCCTTATTGTCCAGCGGCTAATCAGATTTGGCTACCCTTTTCCCCTTGCCGACTAGACTGTCGTGTAGCTCTCGAGGCAGGACTTGGCCAATGACCTCGCGAACAACATAGATGTGCGTCATGAGCGCCTCGTGCGATCCTGCAGAGAGGTATTTATCGGTTCGCAAGGCCATGGCGAGCACCCTATCGGCTGAATCGTAGATTTCCATGATCATGTCTCTGAGCTCTTCGTGATGGTGTTTCCAGAGCTCTGGGGGTCCTTCTTCACTTGACGGGACCGTTACAATGCCCAAGCTGCTGAGAAATTGAAAGAAAGCGCCAAGGCTGCGGATAAGTCCAGTACTAAGCCCTCGTGTTAGCCTGGATAAATGACACGCATACAAAAGTACCTTACGAGGCCTTGGAGACGCGGGTGACGGCCATCGCCGTGGCCAGTTCTTGCTCGAAGAATGCGGATGGACCGCTGCCGTCCGCCTTCTCTTGGATATATACCTCCATGGTTTCGAGTGATTTGGAAGACATGGTTAATGTTTGCGAGGTTCCTCCTTATTTTCGGGTGTGGGTTGGGAGTGAATGAAAAAGAGGGGCATCTGGAAAAGAAAGTAAGAAAGTTAGGCTGAGAGCGTGGAACCTTCCCGATTTGCGATGTCGACGATGAGGCAGGTTTGATATTCGCATTGCGATGGAAGGAACGAGACGGGCGACAATGTACTCTTAGTTAGGCAGGAGCCATACAGAGGTTCCCTTGACTCTGAAAGCATATGATTCCAGTGATATAAAGCTAAGGATTTAACACATATGCCTATAGAAGTGTAGGAGAGAACGGTGTACAACAGTTGTTTAGTTTTGATTAGAGGACGACAAAAAGTATGTCGTCCAATGCGAGCCTTGGCCATTCTTTCCGGGCATCCGATCTGTCTTATCAAAACAAGATGCTCATGATGATTCGATTATAGGTATAATGACAAGCAACTGATACTCGTAAAAGTAAGTGTCTGGAAAAATCGTGTAGAATACTCGTGTTTCAAGAAGGTCCTGGGTTCACCTTACGTCCGAATACCGGAAACACCATCAAAAGTCTTTCAAGATCAAGCCAACAATACCTTCTAGAATTTAAACGTAGAGATTTTTTGCATTTGATTGTAATATATCGAAGTATCTGTTTTGGTTGAAATTACCTTGGACTTGTCCCCATATGATATACGCAGTGTGTTTCCTCGTTTGACTGACCCACGTGCGCATTGTTGATGCTGCCAAATACTGAACCAACTCCATTATAGATGATGAGATATTCATCAGTTTCATATACGCATCCAGATAGTGCCGAGACATCCTGAAGAACGTTGAATGAAGAGGCCTGGCAGCCAGCTGCATTGGTTTGGGGAGCATGCTGTCAATGGCGAGAGCCAAAATCAGTACTTAAAATGGTGCCATTGGGAAAATCAAGATCTACCCGAACATATTGAGGCATCATAAGAAGAAAGAAAGCATATTCGAGCAGCTTTATGATACCCTAACCTCAGATGAAAGCGCTATTGCAACATCATGAGTGTCATTCAGGGGCTCAGGGGTAGCAGTGCGAGAATACAGTGCTGAGTTGCTCGTGGCACAGCCCAGGCAGACAGAGCACCCCTCCCCCAGCAGCCCACTCTGCCCCTCCATCAAAGGCGGTGAGTCAGGGCAAATGAGTCAATGGCACTACCCCGCTGTAGCCAATGCACTGCTGCCCCTCGTCCCGGCATTAATTAATTTTGACTGGCAAAACTTCGATCGCGAGACGCAGGAGATTTTGGTGAGTCAACTTTCGAAGCCCGATTCAACGACGGGAAACACCCGCACACCCTTGGCCAGAATCGATTTTCTGACACCTTCTCGTGAACGCAGCAAACCGCAATCATGGCCGACTCAAGTGCTCCCGAACCCCCCACCGAGCAGGTCAAGGACCTCAAGGTCGAAGAGACCGCCAAGCTTCTCAAGGATGAGGTCACCGGCGAGATGGTCTCCAAGACGGAGCTGAAGAAGCGCCAGAAGGCTCGCGAGAGAGAGGCTGCAAAGGCTGCGAAGGCCGCCGCCGCCCCTCCCAAGCCTGCCGCCGCCAAGAAGGGCAACGCCGAGGCCGACGAGAAGAACCTGGACCCCAGCCAGTACTTTGAGAACCGATCTCGCGCCATTAACAAGTGTGTAGTTGCTCACGTGGGGAGCTTTGAGAGAAAATAATTGCATGGACTGACAGTATGGAAACAGGCTGCGCGAGACCAAGTCTCCCAACCCTTATCCCCACAAGTTCCACAGTGAGATCTGCGAACACCATACTCCCTGGATCCTCATACTGATACCGGTGCAGCCGACTACGACTTGCGCAACTTTGTCAAGGACTTTGGCCACCTCAAGTCTGGCGAGCATGACAAGGAGAAGATTGTCCGCGTGGGCGCTCGTATCTACAACAAGCGTGCCTCCGGCAACAAGCTTTTCTTCTACGATATCCGCGCTGAGGGCGTCAAGGTCCAGGTCATGGCCCAGGCGCAAGAGATCGCAGAGGGAAGCCCGTCTTTCGAGGACCAGCACGTCCACCTTCGCCGAGGCAAGCATTGAAACCTGCGACTGGGGAAAGCATGGGGTACTGACCGCGCGTAGGTGACATTGTTGGTATCATCGGATACCCCGGTCGTACGGCACCCAAGTCCAAGATCGAGAAGGGCGAGGAGGGCGAGCTCTCCATCTTCGCGACCGAGTTCATTCTCCTCACTCCCTGCCTGCACACCCTCCCCGACGAGTACTACGGATTCAAGGACCACGAGGAGCGCCACCGCAAGCGTTACCTCGATCTCATCATGAACGACAAGAGCCGCCAGATCCTCATCACAAGATCCAAGATGGTAACCTACATCAGACGTTTCTTCGACGACAGGGACTTCGTCGAGGTCGAGACGCCAATGATGGGTCCCATCGCCGGCGGTGCCACCGCCGCCCCCTTCAAGACGCACCACAACGACCTCGACATGCAAATGTTCATGAGAATAGCTCCCGAGCTCTACCTCAAGGAGCTCGTCGTCGGCGGCCTCCACCGCGTCTACGAGCTCGGCCGTCAGTTCAGAAACGAGGGCATCGACCTCACGCACAACCCCGAGTTTACCACCTGCGAGTTCTACCAAGCCTTCGCCGACGTCTACGACATTATGGACCTGACCGAAGAGCTCGTCAGTGGCCTCGTCAAGCACCTCACCGGCGGCTACAAGACCAAGTTCCACACCCAGCACGGCGAGGTCTACGAGGTCAACTGGGAAAAGCCCTGGAAGCGCTTCGAAATGATCCCCGAGCTCGAGAAGGCCACGGGCGAGAAGTTCCCGCCCGCCGACCAGCTGCACACCCCCGAGACCAACGAGTTCCTCCAAAAGGTCCTCAAGAAGATGAACCTCGAGTGCTCGCCGCCCCTGACAAACGCCCGCATGATTGACAAGCTCGTCGGCGAGTACATTGAGGAGCAGTGCGTCAACCCCTCCTTCATCTTTGGCCACCCGCAGGTCATGAGCCCCCTCGCCAAGTACCACCGCGACATCCCCGGTCTGTGCGAGCGCTTCGAGGCCTTTGTGTGCAAGAAGGAGATTGTCAACGCCTACACCGAGTTGAACGACCCCTTTGACCAGAGGCTGCGCTTCGAAGAGCAGGCCCGCCAAAAGGACCAGGGCGACGACGAGGCCCAGCTCATTGACGAGAACTTCTGCATGTCGCTCGAGTACGGCCTGCCGCCCACCGGTGGCTGGGGTATGGGTATCGACAGAATGGTCATGTTCTTGACCGACAACTATAGCATCCGTGAGGTGCTCGCCTTCCCCTTCATGAAGGAGGAGAAGCAGGGTGAGAAGAAGGCCTCCGCGGCCGAGGTTGTCGGTGTCAAGCCTGTCCCTGAGGAGGGAATTGGTAAGTCCTGTCTGCCTCTCTGATTGCAACGGAGTCTCGACTAACATCACACCACAGCCCACAAATAGAGAGTTCTCCCGATGTTTGGAATCGGATGTCAAGACGGATCGCCTTGTTTGATTCTCTACAAGTGAAGCCGTGAAGCACGCAAGAAAAACGTGAGCTTGGGCAGTGATATCCGGAAGACGTTCCATAGTCTAGAGTTGAGCTTCTATTAACAAAAAAAGACAAAAAGTTTGAATGGGATAAGCTGAAGATACATGTTGACCACCTCAAAGGGTTGGCCGTGTCCGTCCATTTGTTGCTACAGTGTTATACATATCTACTTGCTTTTGTGTGTATCGTATGTGCCAAAATGCAAACTGCTGTCGCTGCTAAAATGCAGTCAAACCAAAATTGTGGCTGTAACTAGGAAAATAGATCGCTGCCTGACGACCTAAACTCGCTTGATCGCCTTCATCCGCTTTTGGATCATGGCCAGCGTGGACTTTGGCACGCGCAGACGGTGTCCGAGGACTAGCGCGCCAGTGAGCAGCGCCAACGCGCCGGCCTGGTGAGCCGCAGCCAAGGGAACGGGGACGATGTAGATGAGTGTGCTGATGCCGAGCGCGGCCTGCATCAGAACGAGGTGGACGGTGCCCAGGACGCCCTTCTTGACGTTCTTGGGGAGAGCGGCGGCGACGCGGCCGGTGCGGGAGTAGGCAAAGAGGGAGAGGATGGAGCAGAGGGTCGTCATGGCGAGGATGCGGTGGTCGAGCTGGACGGTGCTGGGATTCTCGAGCATGTTGCGCCACCACAGGTCGGAGCCGTCCTCCTTGCGGGAGTAGAACTTATCCCAGAGCTCGCCGGAGGGCGGGGTCAGGCCCAGGCCCATGTAGGGGAACTCATTGTAGATGAGGCCGGCGTCGAGGCCGGCAACGAGGGCGCCGGACATGGCGGTGGTGAAGACGAGGGCGATGAGACCGAAGGAGAGGCGGCGAAATGTCTTGATGGCCGGGTTCTGGAGGGCGGCCAGGACCTTTGTCGCGGCGACGGGGTCGGCGACCAGGCGACGGGTGCGGAAGACGGTGAGGGCGGAAACGAGCATCCAGGAGTAGCAGATGAAGGCCGTGGCGAGGTGGGCGGTTAGGCGGTACTGGGAGACGCGGGGGTGGGAGCCGGGGGCGAAGAGGTCGTCCTTGAGGCCCGATTTCACCATCCACCAGCCGATGAAGCCCTGGAAGGCGATGAGGCAGGAGATTCCGCAGAGATTGACAGCCATCTTGGGGGTCACGCGGCGACGGGCGATGAAGTAGAGCGTGGGCAGGACGAAGGACATTCCGATGAGGCGGCCCCAGAGGCGGTGGGACCACTCCATGAAGTAAATCTTTTTGAACTCGGCCAGATCCATGTGTGGGTTGAGGAGCTTGAACTCGGGGGATGCGCGGTACTTTTCGAACTCGGACTCCCACTCCTCCTGGTTCCGCGGGGGCATGGAGCCGGTTACCGGACGCCATTCGGTGATGCTCAAGCTATATTGGGAGGGATTAGCTCCCTATATCCGCAAGAAGTAGTAGTAGAAACCTGAGCCGAAGGCGGGAAGGGGAATTACCCAGATTCAGTCAATCGTGTGAGGCCACCCCAGACGACGATGCCAAAGACGCTAATTGCGCTGCCGACGAGCCAGTATCCCACAGACTTGGAGTTTGTCTCGGGCCACGCGCTCTGCTTGGTGCCCTCCTTGGCCTTAGCAGCGGCCTCCTCGGCGATCGGGGATGCCACCTTGTCTGCGATGACGGCGTTGCTGTTGAAGTTGAGCGGTGCCTTGGTCTGGTTGAAGCTTCGGGTCTGCTGCTGCTGGTGGGATCGTACGATGGTGTTGAGGACGCGGGACGGGGACGAGCGCCATTGCGGCTGCTGGCGCTGGCATTGGCGGCACACGAAGAGCGAGGGCGATGCTCTCAGAGCGAGCCTCCGTAGGCCTGGTGCGAAAGACGCCATATTGACGGAGGGGGTGGTGGTGGTGGCGATGGTATTTCGCGACAGCCTGGTGGTGAGGAGAGGGACCGTAGGTATAAACGATTCATGGAATAATTTATTTGGAAATCCAGCGCAGCCTAGTGGTCGGGCTTCCCTGCCTGGCTAGTTCCGGGTCCCTCGGCTTGAACAGTGTGGAAAGTGGGCTCACTTGTTCGATCGCTGAGGGACCCCTGGGGCCCTGGAATCCGACACCTTAAGCAGGGGTCCTCTCGATATTGCCCCGCTATAAATTTCTTGTTCACCGCCTTACGCCCACTATGGCAGAATTTGAAAAAGTTGCCCATGCTCGGGCGTAGTGCTCTGGGGAGCGAACGGTGTGTGCGGTGCAATCCGAGCTGAGGCGGGACAAGGCCGACGACTTTTCAACACTCACATTTTCTCGTCTCCTCGCCCCAACCAAAACTCTTTCTTTTCCTCCTCAAATTTACTTACAAAACATGCCCCCTGGTCGGCAATCTCACGGGCGGCAAGCCCACGGGCGACCGCTGTTGTCCTCGAAGCCAGCGACAAAGAACTTTCGCAAGTCGAAAAACAAGGCCCAAGTCAAGGCGCTCGACGCCTTCACCACCGCCTCGGAGCTGTACGCGCCCAAGGAGAAGCGCACGCCACGGTTCCGCGAGATCGAGGCCGCACCGGAAGCCCGGAAGAAGCGCCGCGCCGCGGACGACGACGACGATGAAGACGGAGAGGAGGACGATGATGAGGACGACGACCAGCCCAGGCGGAAGAAGGCCAAGCCCTCTGCTGGCGGCGGCGGGGGTGATGATTCGGATGAGTACGGCAGCGACAGCGACGGAAACGAGTGGCATTATGGCGTCAACGAGGACGAGGATTCGGAACTCGACAGTGACGAGGCCTTTGGAGACAGCGATCACGAGGATTTCCAGGGCTACGCATTCGGAGGCAGTAAAGGCAAGAAGGGAAAGCAGGTTTGTGGCGATTAGAGTCTTTCGCATGCCTATGAGGGCTCTTCCAACTGACCAAATTATTCAGGACGACTCCGAAGAAGAAGACGAAGACGACGACGAGTCCCTCGGCGAGGACGCGATAGACCTGGCGCAAGCCCTGGACGAGTACGAATCCGACGAGTCCATGGCCGACCAGGAAGGCGAGGACGACTCCGACGACTCAGAATCCGAAGCCGAGAGCCCGCCCTCCTCGGACGAGGACGAAGACGATCAGGAGGCGGACCCCTCTAAGCTCGGCGATCTCCAAAAGTTCATCGCCGGCTTCGGCGGCGACGGCGACGACGACAAGGACGCGGCGCCTACCAAGCAGAAGCAAAAGATCAGCTTCAAGGACCTGGGTCTCTCGGGCGTCAAGGACGCGCAGATGCGCAAGTCGGTCAAGCTCATGGCCAAGGAGGAAAAGGAGGCATCCCGCCCCGGGGCAGGCAAGAAGCTCGAGGTACCCCTGTACAAGAGGCAGCAGGACCGCCTCGCGCGCGCGGCGGCCTACGACAAGGCCAGCGAGACCATTGGCCGGTGGCAGGAGACTGTGAAGCAGAACCGCCGCGCCGATCACCTCGTCTTCCCCTTACCGCAGAACGCCGCCGACGAGGGGCTCGACAACCGCGAGCTGCAGGCCATCACGGCCAAGACCTCGACGGGGTCCGAGCTCGAGCAGACGATTCTCAACATCATGCAAGCCTCTGGTCTCGCGATGAATAAGCAGGAAGAAAACGCCCGCGCGAAAGCCGAGCGCGAGGAGGGCATGTCGCAGGAGGCCTTGAAGGACCTGATTCACCAGCGCCGGCGCGAGAGGGAGCTTGCCTCCCGCGAGACCAAGCGCGCGGCCCGCATCAAGAAGATCAAGTCCAAAGCGTATCACCGCGTCCACCGCAAGGAGAAGGAGCGTGAGGCGGCGAAGCTGCACGAGGCCATGGCCGAGAGCGGCGATATCGACGTCGACTCGGAGGCCGAGCGGGACGCGCAGGACCGCGCAAGGGTCCTCGAGCGCGTCGGCGCAAGGCATCGGGACTCCAAGTGGGCCAAGCTTGGGTCGTCCAACAAGCGCGCCGTCTGGGACGATGAGTACCGCGCCGGTCTGCACGATATGGCGCGCCGCGAGGAAGAGCTTCGGAGGCGGAAGGAGGGTCGGGCGGGTGAATCCGAGGAGGACCGGTCTTCTGATGACGACAGCGGTAGCGAAGACGAGGAGAGTGGCAGCGGCGGCAGGGAGAACAGAAGACTGCTGAAGCAGCTCGAGAGCCTCGAGAACGAGGAGGACGATGCCCCCCAATCCGACCTGATGAAGATGAAGTTTATGCAAAAGGCCGAGGCCCAGCAGAAGAAGGCCAACGACGAGCTCATTGCGCAGATCCGTCGGGACCTCGACTCTGACGGCGAGGGCCAGAGTGACGAGGAGGAAGTCACAGAGGTCGGCCGCAAAAAGTACGGCAGCGCGGCGCAACCCGCCATCTCTGTCCCGGCCCTATCCAGGAAGCATAGGAAAGCCGCCGCCGCTCAAGATGATGACGACAACAACGAAGATGACGGCCCCGACAACAGCGCCGTCAACACTGGCTTCTCTGTCACCGCGGAGCCCTCGACGACAGGCTCGGCCTGGTCCTCGGGCCCCCGCAAGAAGTCCGCCAAAACAGGCGGCAAGTCCAGCGGCGCGCGCGTCGAAGACCTAGACAACACCCTCGCCATCACAGCCTCCTCCTCCGCCTCGAAGTCCAAGTCAAAGTCTTTGGCAACAAAACCAAAATCATCAACCCTCGCCGACGAATCCGACGCGGACTCCTCCTCTGACGACGCAGACGCTCACCTCCCCCTCGCCATCCGCGACATCTCGCAAATGGACAAGGCTTTCGCAGGCGACGACGTCGTCGTCGACTTTGCCAAAGAAAAAGACGAGATCCAGGCCGCCGACGACGACAAGGTCATTGACAACACGCTGCCCGGCTGGGGCGGCTGGGTCGGCGACGGCGTGAGCGCGCGCGAGAAGAAGCGCCAGCAGGGCCGGTTCGTGACAAAGGTCGAGGGCGTCAAGAAGGCGAACCGCAAGGACGCCAAGCTTGATAGGGTCATTATCAGCGAGAAGCGCGTCAAGAAGGTACAGTTTCCTTTTCCCATCTACTTCTTATATACCCCCCCCCCCACCTTTGCTCTCTTCTCTCCTTTCAATGTCTACCTTTGCAAGGTAGCCTCCATCACTTGTCTCCTGTGCAGGGAAAAATGAAAACCAAGGGCAAAACCCATTACTGACATCCACTCATAGAATGACAAGTATCTCGCTACGCAACTCCCTCACCCCTTCGAGTCCAAGGAGCAGTACGAGCGCTCGCTGCGCCTACCCCTGGGCCCGGAATGGGTCACCAAGGAATCGCACCAGGCGGCGGTCAAGCCGCGCGTGCTCAAGAAGCAGGGCATCATTGCGCCCATGTCCAGACCGACAATGTAGAGAGCGGGAACAAGGCCACAGGCAAGAGACGTCGCGTGTTGGACAATTTTTGGTTTTATTACTTGTCACCAGACAGATTACGTCATGACCATTTCCGGGATCACATCCATGGCGTCAAGGCAAATACAAAAGTATATTCTTCATTTTTTAGAAGATAATGGTATTCTCTCTTATTCGGGACAAAGACTAGCAGACACGGACCTTGCGAACCAACGATGTTTTCTTTCTTTCTCTTCCTTTGCTCCATTCAATTTTCTCCATTTTTGCAAGGAGACCTGAGATCGAGGCCTCCCAGAAGGCCACACAAAGGGAATAGTATAATACAGTTCGGACTACGTACACAAGGGAAATGCTCACCGGGGACATCATCCCCAAAGATAGAATATTCAGTCACTCGGTTTCTGTGGGCTCGACGTGACTGTTGGGTATCGTCCCGTAATCAACAACAGCGTCAGTTCGCATACTCGAATATAGTGGTAGGCTTAGTTGTTTGCCAACGTGGACAAACAAGGCTGTCGGACTGCGCCTTGTTATTCGTTTCGTAACTTTCGGCATTTCCAGCGCTCAGTTACCTCAACCCTGAACAACGGACAGCACCCTGTCGATAGCGTCGCTAGGGCTAACGTAGAAAGCCAAGGCGATAATAATGTAAAGGCCGAGCAACATGGCACCCTCCAAGTAGTTGGACTTGCCGTCCTGGACAGTGTACGTGACTACCAGCACAGAGAAGGCGAAGGCGACGGTCTCAAAAGTCTCAAAGTGAAGAGTCATGGGCTTGTCAAGAACAGCCCATCCAAGGATGACGAGGAAAGGGGTGACGAGAAGCGCAATCTGGATGCTAGAGCCAATGGCAACACCCATGGCCAGGTCCATCTTGTTGCGGATAGCTACGACGACGGCCGTGACGTGTTCTGCGGCGTTGCCGACAATAGGAATAAGAATGAGACCAATGAAATTCTTGCTGATGTGGGCGGTTTCGACGATAGGATCGATACTCTCGACGAGGTAGTCGGCGCAGAGCGCGACCAAGACGGTGGTGACGACGAGAACGATGGCCGCCGCAATAGGGCCCATAATAGGCTCCTCAGCCTCCTCCTCGTGGTGGTGTTGGATCTCAGCATCGAATAGGTTAGGGTGAGTGCGTAGCTGGAACCAGAGGTACAAGACATAAAGCAACAGCAGGATAATGGCGGTACCGCGGGAGAGCACCAAGATGCTGTGCTCCTTTTCGGCACTTTCGGCCTTGTCGAGCACCGAGTAGAGCTACGAGAGATTGTTAGTCACTGAGCGCGGGGGTGCCAAACCCTGTCGGGATTGCTTACCGTAGCAGGGATAACGAGCGATGCCGAAGACAGCGTCATCAGCGAGCAAGTGGTCTGCGCCGTGGCAGAGGCGAAGCTCTGTTCCATGCCCTGGCCAGTAACTCTGTCGCGCATGTTGACAATGCCGCCAAAGAAGAAGCACATGCCCATGACAAGCAGCAGATTGGATAGAATGGAGCCCAGCATGGACGACTGGACAACCTCGATCTGGCCCTCCTTCAGGGCGACAATACTGACAATCAGCTCGACGGCGTTTCCAAAGGTAGCATTGAGCAGGCCTCCAAGTGCCTCGCCCAGCTTCATTGAGATTTGTTCAGTCGCAAAGGACAGAACAGCGGCGAGGGGGATAATGGCGAAAAAGTTGATGGTGAATACGGCGACTGGGCTCCAGTGCAACTTTCCGGCCACAATGCCAATAGGCACCATGACAAGTAGGAAGTTGACATAGTCTGTTTGGAGACGGTTCGTTAGCACATGGCGGCGCAAGGCAAGCAATAGTATCGCCATGTCACTGGTTGAACTTACTACTCAGAAGGGACACCTTGGTGACGTGCCAAGCGTGCGACGCATATCTGACGGCGGCATTGGGGCTGTCGGTGCCAGGTGTTTGCGTCGAGTTGAAGAGAAATTTCAGGGTCTTGTTGCCCCCGTCGCCGTTGACAATGTGGCTATCGTGGTTGCCTGAGTTGTTGCCTGAGTGGTTGCCATTTGAGAGAAGAGGCGAGTTCTCGTTCACGTCGCCTTCGCGACCATTGGGTTTGTTGGCGGTTCCCCAAGAGCGGACCTGTCCGCGGAAATGCTGGTTCGCTGAATCGTCGGACATGGCGCCGTCATAATTAGCCGGAGCCCTCACCACTATGTAGAAGGAATATTGCCTGTCGCGCGGCTCGTGATGGATGGGAAGGCAGATATTTTGGTGTAAGGCGTCCGGCGAGTAAAAGAAAGAGGCGAGAATGGGAAGAAAAGACAAGGGAGTGACGACCCATGCGCGGGATAAGGCGACCTGATAATTTGTGCGCGCCAACCCTTGATGTGGGTGGAAGAATGGAAGAAGAGTACGGAAGTGGGTGGTGGGTGGTTACGATGCCAGAATGTGGCTTGGAGGAGGGAAAAGAGGTGAATGACTTTCACCCCGTGGTAAGAAAAACCCTTGGCGCGCCAAGTTGAAGGTGTCCAGTGGAGGGATGCACCTCTCGACCTAGGACATGGGGCGGAAAGAAGGTCCAACGGGGCTTGCTGGGGTAGCACTAAGGTAATGTCGCAGCGGAAGGGTGGGAAAGTGGAAGAAGTGGAAGAAATATCCGTAGGCGCAGGAAGTCGGTAAGGTGGTAAGGCAGGTAAAGTAGGGTAAAAGGGACAAGACGGGATTGGGGCTTTGGGCTGGGTTCAAGTTCAAAGCAGATACGGACGTGGGAGGTAAAGGTAGATCAAGCAGGGAGAGAAATCTTAATGTACTTACACACCATGATGTCGCCGGTGAGTGACTTTCAGAATTGCTTGGCCTTTTTGACCTTGTTATCACGGGCGACAGTCCCAACTTCCAACCTGCAAACAAAGCTTTTGCGTGGGTATTTCCGATAGTGATAGTCGCAACGGACAGGATGAGATTTCTGCTCGAGGCCCTGTGCCTGCGCCGCCCGACGGCAAAGGGAGTGGGGTAGCAGACGGTCAGTGACGGCGTGATCCAATGGATGCGAGGCAATGTCAAGCACTGTTGGGCGCCAAGTCCAAAATGCAAAGGGATCTATGTGGAGGGCGTATCGACCGAGGTGGTCCAAGTGGATTTGGGGGATTGTACGTGCGGGTGAGCGTGACGATGGATGCTGCTGCAGCACGACTGCAGGAGGCAGAGCGATTCGACTCGACTCGACTCGACGACGGCTACGGGGAGTGGGAGGGTGGCTGTTTGAAAGAGATGGTGTGTATCGGTAAAGGCAAGGCCAATTGGTAGCCTTTGCGGTGATCCAAAAAGGTGAGGCGAGCCTGAGAGTCTGGTGGTGACTCTGCTTGGCAGTGCTCGTGGTGTAATTATTGCCAGAAAAGTAGCAACGGCAGCGATATGTCCAGAAAAGCCGTGTTCCAAGAGTTCAGGCGATGGCAAATAAGTCTTGGCTGGGAGAGTGGTTGAACAAGAAACGAACACAGCCCCCTTTCCTGTCAGGCTAATATGGAGAACGTGGGACGGAGGTTGTGGTACCCAGAGAAATACAGAGTAGGACGGGACGAAACAGACACTCAGTCTCTGATGGTTGTGGTAGGTGGTGGTGGTGGTGGTGGTGACTGGTGAGGGAGGGAGGACGGGAGAGAGGAATGACACTTTTGGATGCATGGGCGGCCTCCCGGATACATGCAAGGACGAACGGTGGTAGCGCAAGGTACATAGAAAAGGTACATATCTGAACCCCGAGCGAGCCAACATTACATCCACCTCAACCCGCCAGTGCCATCCAGCTACGTCGATATATGGGCACATTAGCACCACTCTCAGCTTGTCAATGGCTGCTGAAAGCCTCAATCCAGCTTTACCGGCGGTCGCTTACCCTGCCATGACTGCATCGCCTTGGATCTGCCTCACTAAAATACTGCCGGAAGGAGACGGGAAGCTTTGAGTGACCTTGGCTTTTTGCTGTGAAAAAGAGCCAAAAAAAAAAAAAAAGTGTCTCTGGGTCTCCCCCCAGTTCAAACGTCATACAACGGACTAGCCAGCAGCGAACAAGTTTCAGTCGTGCAAAGTCTAGGGGTGAGGTTGGCGGCGCCCAATAGGAAGCTTGCGGTGGTGCCAAGCGTGGCTGTGTTGTCTGGCGTTGCTTCTCATCTTTCTCCGCTGTTTCCTGTTCGGCGCCCGCTCAGTACCCACTTTGTCAGTCTTGAGACTTGCGTCTTGAGTCTCTCTCCTTCCTTCCCACATTTCTGCCAGTAGGGTCGCCTTCTACAGATACCTACCAGGCGCGTATCTACTAGGCGCGGGGCCTTTAGTTGCACCTCCGTCATCGTCCGCTGTCAATTCTCCATTCCCTCGTCATCCGCACCACCCTTCAGATCAGACAATATTCCTCGCATCGAAAAGCAGAGAATCCATTGTTATCTTCATCCACCTGTTGAACAATCCCAATGAAACACAATCGCTATCGTCGACCATTACCTGGTCACCCACATTCATCTCCCTCGAAGCGGCATCCCCGCCTCGCATTGCCTCAGCAACCCTTCCAAACCTTCGAGTCAAGAATGATCAAGCTCAGTCTTGGCTTGACAGTGCCTTTCCAATTTCCTCGTCTCGGCATGAAGCCGTCCCACTCTTAAGGAATTCGTCTTGACTTTCGGCTCAGGGGACTGGACGATTTGCGACAAACAGCTCGAGCTCCAGGCCACACTTACATAGTAGGCGGCACTGCAGTACCTGGTACCAGCATCCGTACCAGCAGAGATCCAGTTGCTGTTCCATTCTCGGCGCCCATCGACTTTTTTACTTACTCCAAACGGGGGCCCAAACTTCTGGACTTGTCTGATGACCGTTGCATCAATCCATCAATCCATCCTCTTGTTATTTCAGTCAGATGACCCAGACTGCCTCAGGCTCAGAAAGGACGCCCAGAGTTCCATCGTTGCCGGTGACACCCAAACCGACAACGACGATGACAAACAAGCTCTAGAGTATACTCCCTGCACAAATACTGTTTT